TGACAAGGCAAGGTCCAGGGTGTTGTTATTGTTGTTGTTGTTTTTCTTCTCCTCCTTCTTCTTCTTAAGTTGGGAGATACTTCCATAATTTGTGGTGTTTAGGATGTAGGTCAATCATGCCTAGCACGTATAAGACAAGACCCTGAGATTGTTCTCCCCCCTCCCCCACAAAGAAGGAAGGAAGGAAGAAATAGTTTTTGTGTTTGTTGTGTTAAGATTTTCTAAGTTGGATGCTATTGAAAAGGCTTTGCCTGACTGACTTCACTTTCCTATCTACACAGTGATGCATATGTGCTAAGATTCTGTGAGGGGCTTGAATGAACTGGAGTGAGAGCGATGGTGCATCCCGAGTAGAGACAGAAAGAGAACAGGAAATCCTGCAGTTATACTATCCTGGCTTCAATAATGGAAGAAAAGCAGTTAACTCATGAGTCACCCTAATGGCCTCAAAGATGTCTAAGTAATGTGTAAAGAAGAGTAAATAAAGAAAAAGGTAGTTTATCTAACATTCCATCAGCTGGGTATTTGCATTAATGCATGACTAAATATATTCTATACAGAAAGCATTTGACATTTACAATGACTTTGGGGCACAGTAACTACTTTGTGAATTATCAAAGAAATCTATCATCCTGAGTGAGCTATATCAGAAGCAGAAAGATGCACACGGTATATACTCACTCATATAGACATCTAACATAGGACAAACCTACTAAAATCTGTACACTTAAAGAAACTAATCAAGAGGGAGGACTCTTGCTAAAATGCTCAATCCCTATCCAGAAAGGCAAAGAGGATGGACATCAGAAGAAGGAGAAAAGAGGGAACAAGTCAGGAGCCTGACACAGAGGACCTCTGAAAGGCTCTGCCCTGCAGACTATCAATGCAGATACTGAGACTTATGGCCAACCTTTAGGCAGTGTGCAGGGAATCTTATAAAATAAGTGGGAAACAGTAAGATCTGGAGAGGACAAGAACTCCACAAGGAGAGCAATACAACCAAAAAATCTGAGTACAAGGGTCTTTCCTGAGACTGATACTCCAACCAAGGACTATGCATGGAGATAACCTAAGACCCTTGCACAGATAACCTAAGATATAGACCATGGCAGTTCAGTATCCAAGTGGGTTCCATTGTAATGGGAACAGGGACTGTCTCTGACATGAACTGATTGGCCTGCTCTTTAATCACCTCCCCCTGAGGGGGAAGCAGCATTACGAGGCTACAGAAGAAGACAATGCAGCCACTCCTGAGGAGACCTAATTGACTAGGATCAGAAGGAAGGAAAAGAAGACCTCCCCTATCAGTGGACTTGGGGAGGGTCATGCATGCAGAGGGTGGAGGAAGGGAGGGGTTGAGATGGGAGGAGGGAGGGAACCACGGGGGGGGGGATACAAAGTGAATAAAGTGTAATTAATAAAGAATTAAAAAAATAAAAAGTAAAAAAAAAAAGAAATCTAAAATCATGTATATGCAAAGTGGGTGCTGAGTGTATTGTATTATGTGCTTTTTTGTTAACATTGACCATTTGCATAGGAGTATGTGCACTTTCTAAAAAGCATAATAATTAACAACGCCTTCCAAAAGCAAATCAGACACAAAGATTATTGTCAAAATTTAATTGATTCCCTGTTGTGAGCTCTAGGCAAATAATGATGTATATGGTTTTACATATTCTAGAAATTCACAATACTAGAAGATGTAAATTCATATGATTATAATAAAAAATAAAACTGATGTATAGTCATAAACAATGGCTGTTATAAAGTAAAATGATTTATGTTCCTGGGGAGTCCCAGCTTGTCACTAAACAGACAACATTTGAATGAATTCCACATTAAAAAGGGAGTAAGAATTCTCCAGCTAAATTGCAATGTCACAGTCCTTTCTTGGCACTGACTGTTTTCTATGTTTTTCCCTCTTTGAATTTCTAGATTGTGTTATGGACACATTAGATAGGGCAAGTTGGAATCCTGAGGGAACTGGGAGGCTTGTTGAGAATACCCTGGGACCTGCCTGCAACTGACATTTATTTTTCAGGCTGGAATCTGGCATAGTCTGAACACCTGTCACCTGAAGTTGAGGGGAAGACTTAGGAATTGAACAAAGAATGACCTGTTGGAGTATATGTGTTGCTTAATAATCTATTTTCATGTCTTAAGGTAAATGTCCTCTACCTGTCTGGTCATTACACAGATGATCTGTGTCTTATCACAGAGAAAACATTAGTAGGTCACAACCACCTTCCAGAGTAATAAGGTTTAACATGAACCAGGTTTATTTATAGCTCTTCAAATCACCATCTTGCTTGATGATAAATGGTTGAAGACCACCTGAATAGTTGTTCATGCTGGTTACTAGTTGACCCCACACAAGGCAATGAGGCAGTGATGTTTCCCAGTGGAAATCATCACCCTATTACTCGGGGTGAGCATAAAAACACAGAGCACAGAGCATAGAGCTTTCCAGTAAGTTAACAAGGAGACTACAGGCTTGACACTCTCTTCTGTGTCCCTGTCACTAATCAGACAAAATCTTAGCAAATTTCTCCTTAACCTGACTCTGTAATGAAAGTAACATTAAATAATGGCTATGTTTTATTGATTATTCATTCCATACAGCTAGAATGTTGAAGTGTCCAGAAGTAAGTGTGTCTACCTAGATTCTGGTGCCAGCTCTCCTACTGCCTACAGGACTTTAGACAAGTCACTTAACTACGCTGGGCTTCACTTTATTTGTAGCGAATGGACTGAACTAGGGTTTCTTAAACTTTCACACCATGCTCATTTTTTATCTAAGAAATTGTTGTGTGACACTTAGTACATGGATATACAAAACAGGCAATAAATTATTAATAATAAGTCACAAGATAATTTTTAAAAATCTTTTATTATACATGTAATTTACCACTTTAAAAATTTAGTAAAATTTGGATATTCTCATTTAAATTTATATGAATAATTGAATTTTGGTTGAATATTTGCTACTACAAGACACACAGTGTCTGTGATGCTTCAGAGTTGATGGATGACTTTGGTTTTTATAATTATCAATGTTGAGAATGCCACTTTGCATAAATACATAGCATAAAATATCAAAGTTGTGTTTAGAACCATTGCAGCAATTTTTGAAAATTCTATCTCAATTCTAATCCCAATACATTTAATAATTTTTGTAAAAGTCAAGTCAACAACTCAGACAACATTTTAAAATCCAGCATTAACACACAATTCAATAATTTGATACATGCTGAGGGATGGAGGTAGAAAGATTATTTGAAGTGTCTGTCTCCCATAATTAAAGCATTATGCTTCTGTAAAAACAGGAAACATTGTATATACAGTAAAAATACTGCATTTAATAACAGAAGGTGTTTTGAATCTGAATGAATTGTGTCAGGAAGCATTTGTTGCTCTTTGCAGGTTTGCAAAGCCATTTGCTGCACAAAATGGACATCCAGTTTATTCCTTTAATAGTTTCCTTCTATGAAGCCCAGGCTGGTTTCAATTTTCAGTTTCTGTTTCCCAGACTGTAAGTGTGGGTCAGTATACCTGGAAAAATGTTTTTCAACTATAGAATGTTTTTTTGAAAGTCCTTGCTATTGACTTTGTGGCTTACGTTTCATTCACAGAGCCTGTGATCACTGTCTAAAAGTATTGTCTGAATTGTGGATACAGTATATAGAAAAATCTGTTCTGAGTGGCTTCAAGATTATATTTCAATATTTTTTAAGTGTCTTTGCCAATTGAGATGTTCTTTCTCGTGATGCTCCTGATTATGTGACAAAATATTTCTAATTTGGGAGAAAGTTAGGGGTATCCTAAAGTTGAGGTGTGCAAAGAAAGTCCCAACAGCATTGAAGAGTGCTATTGAGTTTTAATAGTGTTAGTCACTCATGTTTCCTAGGCCTGAAGGTTAGCCTTTGCCTTGATACATCAATAACTTATGCAACCACCCAATTCTGTGTTTTAATTTTCAAAATGAATGAAGAAAATAATAATTTTGGAAAAATTAAATGATTTAGAAATGAACGCTCCTAGAATTTCCTTGATATCTCCCGTATTCACTCTTTGCTTTTTTTTTTTTAATCTTCTTCTTCCAAGATTGAAAGAAATTTGACACTTAACCTTTCCATGAAATCTGAGAATTGAAAATTTCACACAAGTGGACTTCATGCAAATAATGATGCTTTATAGGAGTAAAGGTAGTTACTGTTATTCTCCACAGAAACTGCAGAACATGATCAGTAAGATGTAACCAGATTCACTTCAGTAGAACTCAGCTGTCATGAGGACAGGAAAAGATCATTCACGCCTTAGTGAAACATTTGAAGGCACTTATGTGAAGGAAAGTGAGCCATTTTCTTCATTTACAAAATACCAAATAAAAGTGGAATTAATATGTTAAAGATTTTGTAATCAATAGAACAAAAATATTAGCAAATGGACAGCAAAAGAGAGTTAGGCCATGTTGGACCTTTCAAATTTGAAGATGGTAAAGGGCCCTGGGTACTTCTGAGTATGTGATCTTACAATAAGTTCTAGATTTAAATGTCTTTAATTATAATTTTATCTGTATTTAATAGCTATGGATGTTCAGAATGACAATAGTAAGGGTTAACTAATTTCTTGTGTTCCATTGTTGCAGCTTTTCACCAGGTCTACATAGTGCGTCTTCATTGACTTTAGTATTTTAACACAAGGTAAATAATAGAGAAAAACTTTTATCTACTTCTTCATGCCACAATTATTGAAATGATAAGGTTAAGTGTCATTATTTGTGTCATACACAAATAATGAGTTGTGGTATGGCCTAGACTGACAGCATACTACTATTTAGAAAGAAGATTCTATGCTTAATTTTTGAGTATCTACAAGAAGTTTCTCCTATCTATCTTACACTTTTGATCATTACCAATAAATGTCTCCTGTATTCAAAAGTGAAGAATCAATGAAACTGTAAATGCTACTATTTAAAAAAAATCTAGCTTTTTGCCAAGATGATGCTGAAAGTGAAGAAGGAAGCTCCTGCCCCTTCCAAAGCCGAAGCCAAAGCGAAGGCCTTGAAAGCTACGAAGACAGCGCTGAAAGGACTTCACAGCCACAAACAGAAGATCCATATGTCACCCACCTTCTGGCTGCCCAAGACCCTGAGGCTCCAGAGGCAGCCCAAATACCCTCCGAAGAGTGCACCTAGGAGAAACAAGCTTGACCACTATTCTATTATCAAATTTCCCTTGACCACTGAGTCAGCCATGAAGAAAGCACAGAACAACACACTTGTGTTCATTGTGGATGTCAAGGCTAGCAAGCACCAGATCAAAGAGGTCGTGAAGAAACTCTATGACATTGATGTGGACAAAGTTAATACCCTGACAAGGCCTGACGAAGAGAAGAAGGCGTATGTTCGGTTGGCTCCTGATTATGATGCTCTGGATGTTGCCAACAAGATTGGAATAATCTAAACTCAGTCCAGCTGGTTAACTCTAAATATGTACTTTTTCCACCATAAGATAAAATAAAATAAAATAAAATAATAAAATAAAAATCTAATTGTGATTTGATGGATTTTTCCTTTGATAGTATGTAGTGTCCTTCCCAATCTCTTTTGATAAGTTTGGGGTTGAAGTCTATTTTTGTAGATATTGAAATGCTTACAACCTCTTGCTTCCATTTGCTCGGAATATATTTTCCCAACCTTTTACCCTGAGGTATTATCAATCTGTAATGTTGAGGTGTCTTTTTATTGGGAAATTGGAAGCATTCATATTGGGATATATCAATGTTTGTTGATTCTTCTTATTTTCTTGTTGTTGGTGGTGCTGGCAGTGATAGTCATAGTGGTCTCTCTCTCTCTTTCTCTCTCTCTCTGCCTGTCTGTGTGTATGTGTGTGTTATGTGATTCCCTTCTTTTGATTTTTGTGAGATTATTTTCCTGTACCTGCTGCTGGGTTTCTGTGTCCAGCATCAAAGTGATAGTTTTTGCTTTATCTTATTATATTTTATTTTATCATGTTTGCTTGTTATGTCTCAGAAGCCTGTTCTTTTCTAATGAAAGACAGAAAGGGAATGGATCCAGAGAGAAGGGCACGTGGAGAGGAACTGGAAGAAGTAAAAGGAGAGGAAACGATAAATGCAATGTATTATATAAGAAAAAAAAATCTATTTTTAATAATAGAAAAAGGAAAATGTCTAATTGTGAAAAGATAAAGAAATCCTTAGGAATACATTAGTTCTATGATTTTTAAATGGTCTTTTGGAGGTGTCTACATCTCCTCTCCTCCTTGGTAAAAGAAAAAGCAAAAACCAAAATAACAATAATGGTGAATGACCATCAAAAGAATGCTAGAATCCAGCATGGGAAAGACAGACATTTAAGGCTCAGAAACCTGGGATGGCAGCATAGAAAGGGTAAAGCAATATACTAGTCTCTGCAACTTTTACAAGTAATAATGCAGTCAATGTCCTTGTACATGTAATCAAGTGTAATAGTCTGTGAGGTAATATCATAGAAGCGGAACCACCAAGTCAGAGAATATACACCCACTCAAGGTTTACGTGTTCTGAGCAAATTGGCTTCATTGAGCCCTTTATATTTAGTTCCTGGGCATACATTATTGACATTTGCTGCTGCTGCTGCTGCTGCTGCTGCTGCTACAGCCGTCGCTGCTGCCACTGCTGCTGTTAGTGTCTATTAATTTCCTAATGGAGATGGATTACACGTCTGAGATGAAAGTTTAGCATGCTTAGCCTCTTTAGAACACAGGGATTTGTAACCCAAATCCACCACCACTCAGCTCCTACACAGGTGGACAACCGCATGAAGGCGTGGAGTTAAGATGGCATGACGATATGGTACGCAGGCTCAAGCTTTTCCTCTCTGAAACTTTCCAGTCTTTTTGGTGTTAATGTCTAGTCATGTCTAAACGTTTTATTTTCTATACCACTTCTGGTCTCTGACAATCAACACTATATTTTTCTGTTACTTTTAATAAAGAAATTCTATTGCAAACACATTTACTTGTAATTGAATAAATCAACAATTACGTGGAGCCTCAAATTATACCTGTGACTAAATTAACAATTACATATGTTCAAAGATGAAGAAGTAGGAAGTGTCATGATTTTATTAACTTCAAGAAGTTCTACTTAAAAGGACTTTCGATGGAGAAATCATGAGCTATTTCTTTTCTCGTTACTCAATTTTCCTCTGAATGTATAAAATATTGAAAATGTATGAAATACGTCAAAATATTTATACAAGATCAGGAAATTGTACAGTTTTAATGGATAGCTGAGCAAATTGACAAGTGGCCATAAATGCTTTGGCTTCTTAAAACATATGTAGAAAACTGATGTGAGTTTATGGTTCCATGGAAAATTCACCTTAACATTAGGGATATTTTTGACAATTTAACCCAACTATTTAGCTCATTGTATTAATGAAGGAAAGGAACTTAAAGTCCTCTCGAGACTAAGTGGCTGGCCATGCCCTAGACACCTTCCAAAGACTGTGCCACATTTATTATCGTTCACAAATGATGTTTAGTTTAAAGGGACTCATATCTGAAATATTTTTCAGTATAGAGGCAGAAGAAGTTAATCCTTAAATGCAAATCTCAGCTTTCATGCTACAAACTGTGTATGGCTTGAATTAAGCTAATTATCTTTGTTGAGACTCAGCTTTCACATCTATAAAACTGGAACAAGGCTAACTATGTCAACTATTGTTGAGTTTAAAACACATGCAGAGTATCTTATGATGTACTCACACGTAACAATCTTAATATATGGTAGCTACTTAAAACAAACAATTATGTGGCTTCATTTTCAATCCATAGGACTAAATATTGATATTAATTTGACAGGGAGTAAACATAGAATAAAAAAAAATAGAGTAAGACGAAGTCAGGAGGATGGTTAGTAAGACATGCACAAGGGAGGGACATTCAGTTTGAGAGGTTCTTTTGAGATGGCATGGATTTTCCTTTGGGGATGTCAACTGAAGAAGAAGGTTAGCTGGGCATCTATCTATCTATCTATCTATCTATCTATCTATCTATCTATCTATC